TTAGGTATGTACCAAAATTTTGAGAATATTGGGAAAGTTTTTCTCGTAATTTCATGTTATCTGTTTAAGCAGGTCATAATGTTTTCGGATTGGCTTAATTTAGTAATCTCAAATAAAAAATTAGTAAAGTATAGTATTAGTAATAACTATTGAAGGCGAAAGTATGTTGCAAATTACAAGCTTTGCGGATTTTTTTAATGAACCGAACTATACTTCTACAGCTTTGAAGGATTTTTCCATGATAAATACTAAGAGTATAGAACAATATATTATTTACTTTTATATTACTTATAAAATATTTTATATTTTATTATATTATAGAATATACTAAGAGATAATAGTTGTCTATCTATAGTCTATTTAAAATTGAACCTCATTTAACACTATTATTCTAATTACTTTTTAATGAAATTTTGTTCAAATAAATGAATAATAAAACTGAGTCTTTTAAGATTGGAATAAATAGTACATAACTCTTAGATGTCTACCAGTTTCAATAGTTTCATGACTCATACCTTCTGATTGATATATTGTACAATTGTACTTATTGTTGTTTTATAACATTGCACTTTTAAGCAAAAACTTTTTTATCAAAAAATTACCCAAAAAACTGTTTCAATTTCGAAGAATTTATTCAAAATACTTTTTTTTACTCATAATAACATAATTAGTCTTATACCATGTAGTTTCCCTTTCCCATTTTTTAAGATGAAGATGAGTCATGTAAATGCAGTACTTTTCTTTTTGCTGAAAAATAACCCGTTTAAAACCAATCTGAACCATATCAGATAGTGCAACTAAATTTTGTAAATAGTGTTTTCCATTTTTAAGGGTTTCGTTTGAAATTAACTATTTTTTCGGATCCTTTCCGTTAGCTTTTAACTTAAAAGTACTGTATGTTTACTAGCACATCAAGTGAATTATATAAAAATGTATAAATTTCTAACCTGTGACGACATCGTACAGTTCCATTTTATTTTACCTTCAATTAAAAACACTAAATCTTCTCTTTCCACTAGTTGTGATCTATTATGGTTCAGGAGTTTGGGGATTGAGTATTAATTATGTTGAAAGAAATTGTGTGAAAATATATTAAGATTTGTGAATAGATGATTTTTCTTTCAATATTGTTTGTAATCATATTTTGATTTTATCTAATGATTTTTAATGCTCTTTTCTTATATTAAATTCTTTAATGAATACATTTGAAAGAATTTGAAAACTTATAACTGTCTGTGAGAATATTGACTTTTGGTATTCTTTTTGGACTCGTCGCTGTTAATCGCTGTGGGGGCGATATTATGACACTGTACGCTCTCTTTAAACATAGGGTTAACTCCTTGGGATATATAAATTAATTTCTCAATATTTATCGCTATATTCATATAACTAGTTACCGAAATGGGTTAATATTTCTTCCATTCTCATCAAATAATCGGGACTAAATAACGACCATTAAAATATTTTTCACTCCGCGCGGGTGTTTGTCAGTGTTAGGCTATGGGAGTTTAAGCACATATTATCCGCTATGAGAGCTTGAGCACATATTCAGTCACTGTCCGGTTCTTTTCAGACATAGCGTTACCTTCTTGGGAGATTTGAACATGGAGGAATTGGCAGAACACAGTTGACCAAACATCAATTGGAAACCAGATAGTTCCGGTAGAGGGTATTGAGAAAATGCGAGAAAAATTTTCTCTATGATATCACAAATGGCTTTTCGTAATACCTTTTATATAAGGATTGCATAAATGATAAACTAATAATAATAAGAAGAAATGTTTTTAAATTTAAGCGAAAAAAATATGGTTAAAATGATGTAATGATGGACCTGTTAAATAAATTCAATTGGAACTAAAATTGGTCACTAACAATAATGCGTAATAAACCTATTCAATGTCAATTGTAACAAATTTCTGTTTATCAATAAGATTGAGAGTAACAACTCTATTGTTGTTGTTGTGGCCCAATAAGGAGAAACCTTTTTAGTTTAGATTCCTCATTAATATGTAATGAATATTGAGCGGAAGCTCGAGCACGAATGGCATCAAAACGTAGAATATATTGCTATTGGTCTTCCAACTGCTCTTTGAAGAACTTTATCGAGGTCTATGATTTTGGTGCAAAATTTATTTCGTGAAATTTATTTATTATAGACCAGGCCTGTCCACATCAGATGAGATCGCGGGTCAATACAAATACATACGATCATAGTTGTTTTCGACAAAAATAAAAATACGGTTATAATGTTAATTTTATTTTTATTAATTCATCAATTTAAATTAATTTGTTTGGTAAACCATAAAATAATGTAGTTTTTCCATTACATCAAAAGAAAATTTGGGTAATTGTAGTAGATTAAAAACATACCACGGGACGCACAAACATTAGCTGCGGGCCGCATGTATTCCGCGGGCCGTGCTTTGGACAGCCCTGCTATATACCATATGTGTTCCATACTAAAAACTTTTTGATTTGTTGCAGTTTTTATTGAAATATAGTGCTGTTTTTCCATACGATTCAAGAGTTTCTTATTATTCAATAATATTGTATTAATTATTTACCTTATTAGCAAATTTTATAATTCCAGATGCTGAAATGATTTCAATTACATAGAAATGTGTTGTATTGATACAAGAGCAATTATAATTTCTATTGTAAAATTCTTTAACGTTAAATAAATTTAAATAAAATAATTAATTACTGATTGAAAAACAATTGTAAACAAAATAAAATTATAAATAATTAAAATTTCAAATGCATTGTAAGGAAAATAAAAATTTCTGATGCCTTTAAATTTTTTTGCAATAGCTTCGGTGTTTGTTGTTGGAATTTAAATTTTTAATTGCTTTGTTGCAATATTTTTCATACTTGTTCATGTAATGAATATTTTATTATATTTAATTCATTTACTCATTTTTTTACATTATTTTGAATTTCATAGAAACATAGACTAGACGTAAAATGCGATTAAATACTCTGCCTGCACTCCTAGTCTTTTGTGTGAATTTCTATTGGAATTTATTGCAAATGCGCTTGCAAAATCTGATGATTTTGGGGTAATTTTGGGTCATCGGTTTTACTAAATTCTTCACAATTTCGAAATATTGTTCGGCTCAGTGGTTTTGTGGGTTAGCTATTATCGTCTGCTGTCATACTTTATGCCTACACCCACTTTGAACTATAAGCACAACCATAATGAATGCGTCTAGTATTTAGTGAACATTTCGTAATGAAATAGTTAAGTGAAGTGGAGTGCATTTTATAAATCGAGACGACTGAATAGAATTTTCCAACACAAATACTTACACACTATCTACTCGTTTTAACAAGAGTCAGGAACACATCATCAATCATATTCACACTGACATATAAGTTACATCTGTAAACTATATTATAAATTCCTTCATGTCGATGCAATGGTGCATTAGAGTCTCCGTGTGTATGTATGGGTGGATATGCTAGTATTATGACTATGACTTTGTTTTTGTGTATCTTAAAGTTTGTTTAAACAAACTTGACTGCGAGAAGAAGAAAAATTCTTTATAAACAAAAGTCTCTTTGTTTTTGTATTTTCTGCTGCTTTTGAGTGGAGTTTCCTTGCGGTTCTAGCATGGAACAGATATCTTTTTTAATGGGAATACATAATTTTTATTTCATATCAATGCTTATTCATTAATTTTGTTATTCTTCTGCTATTCAGTCATTCATAAATTTACTTGATTATAAACTTTTTCATTTCAATTCTGTCATAGCAGTTTGTCATATTATTCTTGGTATTCATTTTGGTATACAAATCGCGGTATCAGTTGAAATTAAACAAAACTTTCATACATACTTCAGCAAAAAGTTCCCAACTTGCACTTAACGCATTTAGGTTGCTGTGTAATGCACCGATGGATGGTATGTCTCATTAAAAATTCTCCAAAATCTGTGGTGTAAATAAATGATGTTAATGTTGACGTAAGTGATAATATTTATGCAACTTAATCATCGTTTTGCTTCAAGTAGCTTCCTCTGTGTCTCATAAATACAGTCATAAACATAAAGTGTGTTGATTCTTT